GCCTGCATTTCGCGCACTCGACACGCACGATCTCCGCAGAGGGTTGCACTTTCGGTTGACGCTGTTCGTCCCGCACTCCGCCTTTAAGAGAGAATTTATAAAGTGGGGAAATGTTTTTTCATTAGGACATCTCCCGTGCTAGTTTTCCATACTCACACTTGCCTACTCATTGCATGCTTGCATCTTGCATACTCACCCTTGCATATCATGCTTGCATACTTACACTTGCATACTTTGACACTGGCATACTTCGCACTTGGATGCTTTCGCTTTTCCAGTGTGCGTGTGTGTGTGTAAGTGTGGAAATGTCAGTGTGTAAGTGTAAGTGTCGAAGTGTCAGTGTTCAAGGGATTTTCCGGAAGAACCCTTCGCAATGCTTTCGGGAAAAATGCACTCTTGCATCACCACCCGCTCCAAAATCACTAAAACATCACCTCCAAGAGTTTAGCGTTAGTCCAATTGAGCGTTAGTCCAGGGGTCATCAGTACCAAGCCTGGATAGACCATCAGAAGGATTGCTCTCCGAGTCAATCCATTCCAGCCAAACGCGAATTTGAAATCTCTGAAATAGAAAATGTGCAACTTGGACCAAAGTGTGTACGTCGGTTTGTGCGCTACTGCCTCGGATGAGGGATGCCACTGCAGCTTCGTTGTCGATAAACCACAGGACGTCACAATTCCGTAAGGCAGAGCCATGAAACCATGGCGCTAACAAGCCACACAGAGTCTCACCCGGGTAGATCTGTTGCGCGCGGTCTTCCCAGGTAAGGACAACCTCATGGGGGACAACACAGGTCACCCCCTGGGGTTGGGCCGCCATCCCAAAGATCACCCAACCAACGCGTAAAATGTTTTGTTCAAAAGATGCATCCGAATAAATGATGAGAGGTTGGTGTGGAACCGAACCTACATCAATCTCACGGGGACCGTGAGAAGCCACTGTAGCTGCCAAAAGCTGCAGGGTCAGTATGTCAGATGGGGACAGGGCTGCCGAGTCAGCTCGCTGGAAAGCGGTCAGGACTGGTCCTGCGACGCGCCCGGCCTGTCCGGAACACATGCTGAACATCCAGTTGAGGTCTCCCCGGAGCTTGCCTGCATCATCAGGTGAAAGTTGGCCCGCTGCCAATGCACCCTGAAGTTTGGCAAGCACCTTGCGTTGGGTGGAAAATTTCGGTTGGAATCGGATAAACCCCTCCTCGACAAAGTCCCCTACGTGCACGGAGGTTCCGAGGTAATGTCGGTTACGCCCCGGTGCGAATGATTTAGGGGCTTGCGGAGGGGCCCCCATCAGTTGAAACACCAATTGGAGTCCACGCTGTGAGACATCCGCATTGTGAACAAAGTCAACGGCCAGCTCATCATCAAAATAAGCGGCACAGAAAGACAGTGTGCAGCGACGCGCAATGGCTATACCCAACTGGGGGAAACGATTAAAGTTCACTACTGCGCTCTCCAATCCAGGCCGTAGAGGGTGGTGAACCTCCAAC